CAGAGAGGGTGTTTGAAGACAGACTCTATCACCTAATCATCTCATTCCAGCACCTGCACATAGTCAGGGAGGAAGTAATTAAAGGTCAGAGGTCAATGAACAAAAGGAAACGCAGCAATCGTGCAAATGTTTTCTGTTTACTTGTAGATAATTTAGTCTTTTGTGAGGTTTTATTTTTAAACTAAAAGAGGAATAATCAGCATCTCAGATAAGAAATAACTTCCTACTTGTTTGGTATTTATATAAATGGACATATATATATATATATATATATATATATATATATATATATATATATATATATATATATATATATATATATATATATATATATATAGTTATAGTTATTGCACAGGGTGTTAAATAGCTATTGCATACATTTCACAAGTTTTTGCCGTTGTAGTGTTGCATTACAACGGCATTTTCTGCAGTTTCTGCCAAGGACAATCAATCCTGAGTTTTATTTCTTACCTAAGTTAAAGTTACTGCATTTCATAAGGACTGTAACTGCAGAGGCTGCCCTAGTGGTGGTTAGAGAGAGGAGCATTTGCTTTCAGAGCGACCGCAAAGGTTGCTGGTTTTTAGCTCAGACTGTTTCTGTCCCTGGAACAAAAAAACATTATGTAGATGATTCTGAGGGACAACATGCACTAAATAATAAGTTTAATTTTGATTTATGTTTCACATAAATTGGGATAAATCTGGATTCCAAGTTACAGTAACATAAAATTTAAGGTTTGGAAAACTCAGAAGCAAAACCTAAATGGTTGAGTTGAAGTCCTAAACTAAAGGGGGAAAAAAATCCTAAAGTTTCACATTTTTTAGTGATAAAAGAGTGAAGATAAAGACTTTAAAAACGTCTAAGTGATCTCCAAGTCATACACATGAACAGATTTAAACCTTCCAGCAAATACAAGGCCCAGCCATCCTCCTTTAGAGAACATTAATTATTAAGTTAATCATTAACCTTGTTTTCGAGCATTTTTCTATAATATTTTTATAGGTTTGTGTGCCATACATAAAAACATGTTATGTGTTTTTAACAAGCCTTCGGTAACAAAGCTATTTAATATTTAAAAGTGCAAACACTTTGGTGGATATCTTTGAGCCCACCTTCATGCATGAATAGTTGATATTTCAGAATTTGATATAAATGCGCATAATTTGAAAATCCTGGATATCTTCTGATTAAAACAAATAACTTTGGTGATTACTTCAAATACCACAGACTGCCACTCTGCAAGCTGCCCGCTGCTCCCCAATGGATTGGTTAAAAGACAAATTTCATTGTAATGCATTTGCAATGGCGAATAAAGTTGGTTATTCTGGAGTTAAGGATCTAGGAGCACTCCAAGCTTTATAATCCTTTTCCCAGATATTCTGAATACCAGTTAAGACAGTAATATGTTTTGCCAGAATATCTAAGTGATTCTCCCACAGATTTATCGTAGCATACAGAATGTAAGTCCTGTCAGAACAGATCTTTTCAAAAGCTCTCAAACTTTTGCAGTGTCTTAAAAGGGAGGGAAATAAAGCCTGAAGGGAACCCATTATGGTATATAATTATCATAATCCCAACTGAGTCATGTTAAGGTATGTTACTTGATTCATCTTTCAGGTCTTATCTTGTTTACTTGATTTAAATAGGCAGATGGTGCCAAATGGTGTCAGCCTCCTGTAGAACTCTTTGTAAAAAGAAAGATAATTTCTGGGGTTTGTTTTGTGAACAAAAACCTGTAATGTTGTTGTCACCCTGTGAAAGACTATAAGAAAACTGTGTCAACAAGGGCCTCCCTGACAGATCATCAACCATTGAATCTTTCTAAGAGTTCAAACACAAACATTTGAAAGTGTTTGCTAAAATAATTGATGGCATACTACTAAACTTATTAACCTGTTGTCTATCTATCTATCTATCTATCTATCTATCTATCTATCTATCTATCTATCTATCTATCTATCTATCTATCTATCTATCATGCCTTCAGTTTTGGTTATCAGGCCATTTCCAAATGTTAATCGTGCTACAAAGAAAATTATTATTCACAAATAGTGAAAAACAGAAAAACAAAATGGACTTTCCTGCAAATTCACTACAAAACAAAGATTAATTATGCTGCTATAGGCTTAGACTTTTATCATTTTGCTTAATTCTATAACTATTCTCCCATTCTGCAGTATTTTATAGTTCAGTCTCTAACATTATGCTCTCTCTGCTTTTTCTAATAGTAGCTTCATCTGGTCTGTTCCTGTCTGGCTGTGACATCATCCTGGAAAGAAATATCAGTTGTGCTGCTGCCATCAATGCTTTGTTTACAGATGTTGGAGCTTGGCCTGTTTTTCAGTGTAGTCCCGTTACTGTGACTAACTGTATGTGCTCTCTTTTTTCTCTGACATGGCAGCTGGCCTGGAGCTCCTCTGCCTGGTTGTGTCCTTCCTGGACTCTGCTTCTTTGTCCTTAATCCCCAGTCGGCCTCAACAGACGGCCGTTCACACTGAGCCTAGTCCTTCTAAAGGTTCCCTCCGAATTTTCCTGTCCACTGTTGCTACATGCATGCTTGGTGTGAGGGATTGCTGAAGAGTCAATACAATCAGCTGGTTTTCCTTAGATGGAAAACTGAACCAATCTGACTGCATGATCTGGTTGTATTGTCTCTGTAAAGTGCCTAGAGATGATGTGTTGTAAATTGGTGCTATATGAATAAACTGAATTGTATTCAGGACTCTACAGTCCTCCAATAGCTTGTTAAAGTTTATGACAGTAAGAGGAATACTGAACAGGCTTGTTTGAAAGGGTTTCTATAAGAGAGACTTTTCTCTCAAAAAGAATTGTTCCATCATCATGTAAAGATTTGCATATTTGGGGGAAAAAGTGCTCACCAACCAAGCAGATTATATATAACGAGGAACTGATGGCTTGATATTCTCATTCATGATGTTTTTGGTAAAGAGCGTAACTAACGATTCCATTAATTTTGGAAACTATCCCGTTCCTCAAGCTACCCAATGTGCTCATATTATCACCTCTTCATTGAACACTTGGAATGATGTTCTTTTTCTGGATGCTTTATTCCAGATGTAATGGGTTACTCGTTCACTTCTAAGGGCCTCTTTTCTCTCATCGACAGAAAGAATATTTTACTCCGAAAATCTTTCATTTTGTTTGCAGTCATCTTTGCCGTGAAACAAGCTCCTAGATGTCATGTTTCCCCACTCTCTGTTTTTTTACTTATGAACACTAAGAATGGGGCCTTAATGAAGGGAAGTAATTACTTTTTCATATCAAGCTTGGTTGATTTGGATAGCTTTTAAATCTCTTAAGATAAAAACATAAAATGAAGGAAAAGTATGAGGTGTTTAATACAGAACGGAAAGACAGACATATCTACAGAAAGATCCTATGTTAGGACAGCTGTAATGCAACAATGTGTCTGTGCTGGTAAAAGAAAGGCATCTAAGTGTAAATTTGTGGTTTTTGCTTTTCAATGCATCAGACTCTGGGATGTAGTAGACTGGGTGTGGAGGGGCTGAAAGAAAGACCCATCAAAACAAAACAGAGCTCAACATTAATCTGACTTACAAAGCTGCATGAATGAATCCCCACCAGCAGCAAAGTCTCATGCATCCACCAACGTGCAATGTGGGAGGAGCTAGGGGTGTTGTCTTCCTGTGGCCTGAGGTGGTCCCACCTTACAACCTGTGGCTCGGACGACCTCATTGGCTATTTGTCTCTATGGAAACAATCAGGAGCACAATATAAAATATGAGCAAAGAGTGTTGGAAAGGCGACAAAATCCAAAGACAGACAGAGAGGAACAAAAAGACAAAATGGGAAGAATATATCTTAGGTCCTGTATTTAAAGCTTAAGCAGTGAGGATTATCTGCTTTTCTTTAGCACTAGAGAAAGCAAAGAATCAAAAGGGAAAAACACAGAAAAAAGGTAAATCGGATGTAATGCTATGCAAGAGCCTCAAATTCTCTTTAACTTCAAATAAAGTCCTGTTAAATTCTTGTCTTTGATATTTCTTTTTACATTTAATACAATAAAACAGAAAAAATATGTTCTTATGACAGCAGCAACTAACAACACCCTAAAAACCCTGTTTAAAACTGGTCCTTCCTAAGTTTTCAAGTTTTAAGATATGTTTCAATAAGAATGATTCTTGCCTTTGAAATTTGAGCATGTTTTGTCTGACAACAATTCATTTGTGTGGATTTAGAAAACCAAAAAGAATGCAAAAATATCTAAATATTATCACTCATTAAAATTTAAAAGAAGGTTTTCCTCTGATGAAATCAATTATAAAGATATTAGGTTTTGGAGTAAAGTTGTTTTAAAGTCAGTGTTATTGAGTGATTTTCCTCCCCCCCTTTCTTCATGCATGTTTTTTATGTCTCTAAATTGTATGCATGTTCTACATGTGTATTTGATGTTGCTGCTTCCTCTGCTGCACGTTTTATCATTTGGGGGAAAATGATTGATTGATTTAATTATTTATCAACTGACTGACTGAAAATGAAAAATTGTTATTTTAAAATAAAAACATTCATTGTCATCTTAACCCCTGGGAGGAAATTAACAAGGGGTGAATTAAGGTTCAGTCATCTGATCAGAATGTCTTTTGATGGTTTTCTGGACCAAAATTCCCATCTAGCCTATGAAGAATAAGTAATATCCTCAAGAGTTTCCAAAGCCTGGGTGACAATTGAAGAGGAAATCCTTCAAACATCCAATACCAGCTTCATAAGCTGGAAAAAAGCAAGATGCCATTTTTACAACCACCATAGTGAGAAAACAAAAGTAAAATACAACCATCTGTTTTGAAGCAGTGATTTTAAGACATTTGTCCTAAAAAGTGCTATGAGCACCACGGCCCCATGCAGAGGAACTGCATTTTTACCCAAATAGCTCTCTCTCTCCCCCTCTTGGTCAATAACAGTATTAAATATCTTCCACAAGTGTGGCTAATATGAAAAAGAATCAATAAACTCAGTTGAGCTTCATCAAGTGAAACATTTAATGTTGCAGAAATTGTTCTGACATACAAAGTGCAAAGAAAACAACTGTTATCTGGTCCTTCGGCGTAATAAATGAATCATATTAGTAGAAAAAGCTGCAATAATGTGAACAAAATGTTAGCTACCATTCAAAAACAATATTTGGATTAAAAAGACCTGATGGATATACAAACAAAAAGAACAGAATTTTAAATGATGAGGCACTTCAGGTGAGTTAATATCAATAACCGATGAAGTTATGCATCATCTCCACCACAGAGCATCAGTAAAGCCTTCCTGTAGTCACCGCCAGTATCTCCCTGTATCAAACACAAACAGCAATCATTGCAGACATTATTGTACGTCCAACATGTTTTTGTGCAGCAGGGCTTTATTTCTCGGTTTATGTACCTTGATCATTGAGTGCAAAGAACAAGCAAACATCTTCCTGAACTCGGCCCGGATGTCCAACATGTCGACTTCACTGCGAGTCACCATCACTCTAATTAGAGTGTTATCGTCAGTACCTGCACCCTGAAACAAACATTATAACGTTAGAGCTTTAGATGATTCTCTGCATTATTGTTGAACCTTGCATTTAGATACTGCAGCGTAGCTCTTATCTGTTTTTTTGCTACGGGAGACCCTGAGGATAAACAATATAAAGAAACAATCTCAGTATGTAAAACCCATACTGAACACTGCTAACCCCTCATGCAGCTCTCTACTCTTCTCTGTCAACATACCTTTTGTCTGCACTCTGTCAGTGAGGATCTTGGTTACTAGAATTTTTACATGGACACTAGGGATGGTGAAAGTTCATCCAGCAAACCACATATTACTGTAGAACGCAATGTATGCATGCATGGCAGCTGAAATGCTAAAGCCCACTAGACATTTCATCCTTATCCAACATTTGAGAATTTCAGTATTGTGCACATAAATACTGTAATGCTACTGAGATTAAGGATACCAATCAAATCAGTAATGAGGGTCATTTGAATTCGCTGCACTGGTTTTTATGGTTATTTGTGAGTCAAACAAGTCCAGAGCTGCCACACACAACCTTTTAGATGCACTTCTTCGAACCTATTTGAGTAAAATTGTTTTCTTGTCACCGGGCCTCTGCAGAGCTGAATAGCTTGCTAAGGAGGGAAGTTTGATAGGGGTACGCTTGAGAAGAGCTGCATCTAAGCAAAGCCAGACTGAAGGTATAGACGACCGGATATAGGCACCAACGGTGGAGATTCATCCAAGACATCACAATCCTACCTGCTTTAAAAGATAATTGAAGGTCTCAAAAACTGAGAGATGGCAGGTGAAAATCAGGGCAGCATAGGAAGAACTAATATCCATACTCACAAACATAAGCTAAAAGAATTTAGCTAGGCCAATAAACCAAAAACAGTTTTCCTTTTTTAACTGCAGAAAGCTGGGGAACCTAGTGAGAACCCATGCTTGCAGATGTAAACCATGCAACCTCCACCAAAAAATGCCAAGGCAGGGATTCAAACCATGGACCTAATTGATACAAGGTAAAGGTCACAAAAACTTGGCCATTCTACACCTGAATAACAAATATATGTTAATATAGACTTAAATAAATTAAGAAATAAATATGAATAAAAAAATATATTGTGAAAAAAAAAAATAAAAACTGTATCCAGATGCTGCAATTTTGTGTTGCCTTACCTTCATAGCATAGTAAAGAGTCTCAGCAAAATAGGCTGGAACACTTCTGGCACACTTCACTTTAAAGGAAAATTAAAGCAGACAGTCATTGGAAAAGAGAGGGTATAGAAATACAGTGGGTAAGAAATGTGCGTTTTCTTACCTACTGCTAATAGCAGGTCCCTCAAGCCTCCAGATGTTTCCCTCTGAATGCTCTCCTCCATCTCAAATCCAGACAGTTTCATGTAGGCATCGAACACTGAAATAAAGCTCAACATTTCAAAAAAACTGAAGAGGGTCAACAAAGGTTGACTAAAAACAACTTTTATTTCATTCTTATCTTTTTATGCGGGTTTCCCAAAGAAATTAAAAACAGCTGGTCCACAAAGTCATCCAACTATGTTCTGTTGACTATGTCCTCCATCCATGGGAAAAACATACCTTTCCTCAGGTGTTGTGCGCTTCGATTTCCCAGAATGGTGACAAATGATTGTTCATCGGTTCCAAACTTCTCCTCTCCTGCTTTAAACAGAGCCTGCAAGATGAAAAAACAAAAGATCTCATGTATTCCATATATTTAGTCTTTTTTAAAGTTTCTACTATACACAATATACACAAACATCTTTCAATCTAAAGCTTGTGAATTTCATTCAAGCTTCTGTCTATATTCATCCTGTTGATCAAACCTAACTGGCTCTAGACTGCCTCCTACTGGTACATATTTTCTTTGAAGTCATATGACCACATTTCCTTGCATTTAACCATGAGGAAAATGCGGAGAGGTTTGGTTATGCACAACTGTGGCTCTATGGGTACAGTTGTGGTCCATTTACTATTCAAAAAGGTTTGTTTTCTCAAAGAGGGTAAAAAAAGGCACAATGTAAGATAAAAACTGATGCATGAATGGAAGAGTTTTTAAACCTCCCAATAAAGGATCTAAATGAGCAGCAGTTGTTGGGAGTTTATTTTGGTGGTTCCCCCGATTATTTCTGTTCAGCCATGAAGGCAATCCCTGTTCATAAGTTGCTCTTTTAACCTAATCCACATTTATACCAACATAAAATTGAACTTGGACAGAGGAAATGTTGATGTTCACCTGTTTGAGTTAATTTTCAAAAATGTGGTCTTTTCCTGTTTTTGCTAGCTTTGTCACACCTATTTTTGTTGTTTTAATTTGATTTTTAATAATAAATACAGAAAAAATGAACAATGACACCATATAATTACACCTCTCAGTAAAGATTTATTACCAATAATCGGTAATAATAAAGTTAATATATATAATGAATCATTATTATAGTATCACATAAAGAGAGTAATTAGACTAGTATTTTTTTTGTCAGAAAGGATTATGTTTAAAGCATACATTCAAAAAAAACATTGCACACATGTTTTTTTTTTTTGACCTGGCTTCCAGAGGCAGGATGTCCCGTTTCCCTCATATTAACAACTGTTCTCTATCTGTTAAATCTTTAATTTGTTTGGAGGCATCATATTATATTTATGGATTGCTCTTATGTTACAGTAAGGAGAAAGAGAGAGGGAGCTAGAAATATGAAACAGTCACTGCATATTGTTTCTAAGAAACACTGCAACCCAGCACTGAGTTATATTCCTTTAGGAACGTTTTTCACAGTACTTTAGAGTAGGTTATACTACCATTAAAGATAAACCCAAAAAAAGGAAATGAAAAAAGGACATACCTGAGCATCACTCTCGATGTTTCCCTCCTGGATACCCGTCTGACGGCTTGCCTGGTGAGAGATTAAAGAAAATACTGTTTAAAAGAGAAGGGGAGAAAAAAAAAAAGAGGAAATGCTCAGACTGACCTGAAGCAGAATAACTAAGAGTCTCTTGAAGTGACCTGAAGTGTCCCCACATACATCCTCCTCCAAGTCATCGTCGTACTCTTAGGTACACAGAAACAAAACCACTGTCAAACCCTTTTCCTTTTTCTTATAATTTGGGTCAAAACAACCCAAGAGTCACTTTCATTAAGCAAAGAGCCCCTTTGATCCTAAACACGGTGTCCTTATGAAGCCAACAGCTATCCAGAATAGGATGTTCTTACATATGTTCAATAAGCACAATTATAAAGCTAGAAACAGCTACTTTTAAACCACCCATAACATTATGGCCACTTGTTCAATTCATGATGGTGGAATCAGGAATAACAATATTTTATGATAATATCATAACAATAGAGGTAATTATATTTAAAAAAATAAAATAAAATTGTGGGTTTTTTGGTAAATGTATGGCTGTGACTGCAAACAGCCATCTCAGCCCCACAGTCACGCCCACAGCTCTACATAAAGACGACCATCTCAAATAGTCTTCCTGATGCACACAGTAGCTCAGATTTAGTACATTTTTAATGCTTTACTGTCTGAAACGAAAAGTGGACAAAACAAGTACGGTAAAAGTTATTTGGATGGTTCAGCTACATTTTACTTGCTAACACTAATTATTTATCGTTGTAACAATAATTCAAACTTCTTCTGTATCAAGATAATGAAAATACACTTAATGCCCCCCCCCCCATAGGCATTAATAGTATCAAGCAGTGATTGCGAGAAAGGATTGGTAGTTCAAGCATTACAATAACTTTATGTTGGACCTTCTGACATCAGTCAAGTAATGTCTCTCAGTGCTCATAAAGCCGGAATACTTTGATGTGGATAAATGTACCAATTCTCTGCAGGGTGAGCTAATGGAAAAATGCAGACTACAACACAAAGACTGAGGCATTTATTAGAACAGATGTTTTAGTGCTGTAACGCAGCAGAAACCAAACCAGCAGAAAGTCTTGGTCTAGTTCTAGAAGTGCTTTGGTTGAAAACTCCTAATAGATGTTTATGTTCATCTCGATTCTCGCCCTAATTAGGGTTTAGTGGTCTCAACTGTCTGACACCAGCTGAGAGAAGCAGGCTCAAAGCACACAGACCAAAACAGAAAACCTGAAATCCAAAGGCATTTTTTAAGCACGTCAGTTTATAAGCTATGTTACGAAGACATGAAGGGATGCTGGAGCTTCAGTGATAGTCATAATCTTATGCTTGATCTGATTGTGTATGACTATTGATGCTCTGGTCAAGGCACCTGACCTCTACTTATTATTTTTCTGTATACTTTCTGTTCATAAAAAATGTTGTGATGAAACTAGCTTTCTCTGCACAAACATATACTTCAGGCAAATCAACAAACAGTCCTAAAAAAGTGCACTTTCCAAAAACAGCAAACTAATGAGGGAAATACCAGGATGCTGAACTGTTATTGATGTCAGGTTAAGGTTTAACCCAGGTTTTGCTTTAGGAGGAAGGCAGAGCATTTCTCTGGGTGTCTTACCTTGTCTATAAGCAGCAACAATGTCCTTCACCTGCTGAGCTGTTCTTGAAGCAAGTATCTCCACCAGAACCTTCTCATCTGTTCCTGCCCCCTATAGGGACAAAGGTGGAAATGTAAAAAAAAAACTGACATTGATGTGAGAGTCGCTGAAATCTTTTATCAGCTTCATGTCTGTTACCTTGATAGCATTTCGAAGGCATGTCACATCATAAGTAAGAGGCAGGGTCATAAGAGCCACAATCAGTGTCTCAAATTTACCACCAAGCTCTCCCTTGAGGTCATCCACCAGGTCCTGACAAGAAGGAAAATAACAATTTAAAGATATTTTTGAAAGCATATTTTTTTATACTGCCAGTCAAACAAATTGTTTAGACAAGTTCCTGATCTGTAGAGGTGGATCTTCTCACTGCCATGTAATTTACCACCTCTGGAAGAAGCAGTTCTACTCTACACCAGAAGGGGGCAGCAGTGATGCCATCAGGGGGATTTTAAATGGCTGTAGAATTGTAATTTTAATTTCTCTCTGAATATGACATTTTATTTCATGACTGGTTACAAAATCTATTTAAATATTGCTGCTGAAATGCTCAGATTATATGTTAGAAATTAAGATTTAGTATATTTGAATAAAAACACTGTGGTAAGGTGACCAGATTTCTGCAATCTAATCTGGGGACATTTCCAGCTCGTAGATAGAAATAAATACATTTCATGAAAATTAAAATAGGAAATGGGGACAGTGCTGCTTTCATCCATTTTTACATATTTATTAATATTTAAATAAAATTTCAAGTGTGAAATCCAGGTATGCGCCTCTTCAATGTCCTAAGATTAATAAAATTAATCAATCTGTTGTGTTTATTAGTGCCATCCGGTCATTCAGTCTTCTCTGTCTTCTTCCCTTGTGAGCAACATAACATTGTGTTTGCATTAATACAGTCTTTCGGAATGTCCCTCTTTTTTAATACAAAAAAAATTAAAATTAAACCCTTTTATACATATTAAAAATTGAAAAACATATATTTTTTTTCCTGCTCTCTGTTTTACTTTTCTAAGTAGATTTTTCTTCCCTCTCTTAAACTGTTCTGTTTCCCCATTTTCCTCTTATTCATTCTTCTTCCTGTCAGTTTTCTAATCTTCTTCCTCTCCTCTTCTCTTCTTCACCATATTTAAGGAGGGGAAACACTGTTGCTTTAAATATAAACTAATTTTATCGGCTCATTAAGATTTAAACCAAAGTTTCCATCTAAGCCCCTGCAGTAAATATAAATTAGAAATGTTTGTGGGTTTTTTTTTATACTTTCATTCATTTTTATACAGACTTAAATTCATGATAAACCACGTGGAAACATTTGATACTAGTTTAAAGGTGGAACCCAGCTGTGCTGATCAGTTGGAGAAACATGCAGTCTGACCTTCCCAAACAGAGTCTTGTAGGCGGCCTTGATCTCCTGCCGCTGACCGTTGCTGCGAGCAGTCAGCAGCTGCAGGATAGCATCTTCGTCAGTCCCTATGGCAACAAGCACTATGGTTACTCCGCAGAGCTGAGATAACAAGTCTCACATGATTATCTGTGTTACGTAACAAGAACAACAAGCACACTCTGTATGGTGGATTCTTGGCTGGATCAGTTTATCCCATAAACGCAGCATAGAGTCAAAGTCTGCTGGTCTGCTTGTACCCACAGAGGAGTATCATGTTACCCTCAGTTGGTCACGTGTTGATGACTCAGTGCTGGCTGTGTGGGTGGAGACCATCGCTTACTACACTGGGGTTGATTTAAAGAGGAACTCCTGACAGACATTAAACTGTTCTTCTACAGTTTTAGCTCAATTTCTGATAATAGACAAGAAGATTACCGAGTCCTTTCATGGCTTTATGCAGAACCTCTGCATCTTCACTTGCATTGAAGTTGGCACTGGCTTTAACAGTTCCTCTGCTGGCCTGAAACAAGGAAATTATGGACAAATGAAAGGGATATTTTACTAAAAGCCAGTAGATTCCCGCCGTGCTTCTAGGATAGAACAGAATAGAAAAAGTACAATAGGCATAAGGTAATATGCTACCAAATGGGTCTAAACCAACTAGTTAAAATATTTAAACATATATTCAAATGATAGGATGGCAAGAAAAGCAGCAGGACAACATATTAAAATAGTAAATGATGCCTAGATAAAAGCTGAAGATATTTCATTTAATCAGACATCTAAAGCTTTTTTATCCATTGAAGCTACCTTTGCCATCAATATTAATATTTATACAATTTAAGGCTAGAGGAAGATGTTTTTTACTGTAGAAGACCACTACTGATAGGTTATCAAGGAACTTATTTTTTTTTTTTTTTGCTATCTAAAAGGTAGTGCTTTAACTTATTGCAGATAAAGGAGAATGATAGAAGCAGTTAGCTGGTTTGACAAAAAAATAAAATCAGGAAATTCATGAAAAGTAGAAGTGATCCCGCTCTATATTGCTTTATGGAGAACATTACTCATAAAATAATTCCATCACAAAAGCAGTTTTTTTTTTCTTTAGTTTTTCTAGCAGACTTTTTCTATTTATCTTAATTCAGTGTGTTAATCCAAATTGGCAAGATTCATCCTAATCAGTGGTATTTTTGACAGTGAAATAAAAAGTGTGGGTTGGTAACCTGTTGCACAGCAGGTGTTGCTAAAATAAAAGCCTTTAATGTCCCTAAAGCCGGAATTTGTGCTCTTTTACAGCGAGCGCGACACTTTTTTTTTATCTTGGGAAACATTTCCTGTTACTCACATGTAAGATCAAAGCCACCACTCAGGGGAAAAGTAGAAAAAACAGGATGTAGTTAAAGAAAGCAAAAACATTGTTCTGACAATGGAGGACAAATCTCTGCAGCACATATGAGCAGTGACAGCATGCAACTATTGAGGGGATCTCAGAGTTTCTGAACTTTAATCAAATCTTTTTACCAGAAGCTTTCACATCCTGCAGTGGTGCATTTCTAAACATTTGCATGTCAGCTAGAACCAGCATTCCTAAGACAGCTCTTCCCTGATAACATGGATGATGGTCTGCAGTCCTGTAATGGCAGGCGCTCTCTATCTTATTCTCTGTAATCAGATGGAGAGAGAGGCGCCAACTACTCACATCTGCTGGACTTGATGCTCGTTTCTGCATCTTTATGCATTTAGAACAATTGCCTTTTTTTATTCAATCAAGAAAACAGGCAAAAAACTGAAACTAAAGTCTATCAAATTATATAAAGACTGTTCCCATCAGATTAGTTTAGAATGTGAAACATCTGTAATAAATTAGCTTTTTCTTCCTTGGAGGGAAGAAGAGTGACAGATGTTTGCAGAGGAAAAAAACCCCCACTGGAATGCTTCTGGAATTCTGACCCTGAAAACATGGAGGAGAAAGACTGGGTGGAGGACTGTGTCCGTTTCAGCAGGTAGGAATTCCAACATGTCAATAAGCCTCACTTTCTCTATCAACACACTCAGAATCAGGAGTTAAATTAAATCTGGCTGCTCAGGCACACAGCTGATCTTTAGGATAATTGAACAACGTCGAATGTTTCGTCTGGTATTTGTGGCAAAGTCTGCTGAGCAAGTTTAGACATGGTGACATACGGAGCCTCCATATAGCTGCTAAATCATAGGTTCACGTCTCTCCTCCATTCAACTTAGGCTGTTATAGAAACTTTCTATGTAGCCATGGATAGATGAAGAGAGAGCGTCAGTGTGTAATTATTAAAACATCATTTATAGATAACTGTAGCATCCAGTCTGCTCAGTCATTGTCTGCCTTCTCAGGTCTAAAGTCAGCTGGTTCAGCCTGTCACCAGCAGATTCTGCCTTCATCTGCCTCCTCAGGCTTGCTACCAGTCTGTTCTGCCTGCAGTCATCAATGGTTAATGCAAACTGTTTTCAAAGGAGACTTTTAACCCTTTTAAAATTGTAAAACACTTAGTTCAGATATGTTATTTCATATATGTATGCTCAATAGTAGGGTGCCAATGGAGTTTGGTAAAAGGCAGGCCATCGCGTCCTAGATTCATTACCATAGCTAATATTCTAGCATTTGATTTTTTTTCCCCAATGTTTTTTTTTTTTTTTTTTTACTTTAATTCAGATCTATATATAGTGTTTGTTTCCTAAAAATGTTCAATTTCAATCTTGTTAGAAAAAAAAAAACAAAGTTTAAATTAAAGTTTATGTATTACTAGCAGATGGCTTGTTCTTGCATCAGTCCCATGTAGATTACTCCCAAATGTTTTTAGGGTGGATTGGTGACCTTAGAAGTTGACTGTCTTTGATGTAATTCACTAACAATCAGCTTTGGACGCATGTTTATCTCTATATCCAGCGCATGAGGTAAGATCAGATGAGAAGCCATTTCCTGATTTATAATATTAAAGCAGGAAATGAATACACAGCTGTTTTGCTTACACTACATGTTATACTTGTATGTACTATGATGAAGGGTGGCTAGGTCTAAAGGTCCTTTATTTTATAAATTAATTCTCTAGGAAACAGAAAGTTGTGGATCCTTCAGTAATAAATTCATAAAGCCAAAAAGGAGCAGTATAGAAGATTTTTCCTCCGTACACCTCTTAGACAATATTACCATCATCGCTACCAATACAGGCACTGTTTCATATACAATAGTTTTCCCAGTCGTTGTCATTGTTGGGTGTAGTCTGATGGATTTTTAATGCATAACTGTTAACACACATTTTCCACTTTTCTTAAGATCCCCCTACTTAACAGCACACTTATTTTCTGATTGATAGAAACTTGTAGCTGTTATGTTTTCCCTGTGTTTAAAATTATACTGCATAGTCTGTAGATATTTCTGGTTATGCATTTTACCCTGATCATATGCTTTCATTTTTTTGGGGGACATGTCAATTTTACAGCTAAATGACAGTAAATTTTGTTTAGTTCTACTCTGTTTGTAGACACCCATAGCAACTCCAAAGTGTAACATTGAAATTAAGTGGTTTTAGTTGTGAAAACAAATGTGGCAAGTTAAAACTGTCATTTTGCAATGTTTTTTTTTCCCACCTAAGGAGGGAGAGGTTCTCTATCTTAAGACCCTTGAGGAAAAAAAAAAGAATAAATAATAATAAAATATTGTTGCGTTTCATCTGGCTATGTTATTGGACTGTAACATACAGTCTCCACCCTGTCTGGAGGAGAGAGCCAGCTGATGTGCCTTTAAAAAGAGAGGGAGGGAGGCTGCAAACGTGGAAATGAGCATATTTAGAGGACAGACAGATCCAGGGGCCCACCCAGTGGAAAACAGGGGCCCACACCAGTGAGTCATGCACCAAACTTCCCCAAACTAACCTCTATGTGCTGCCATTGGAGCATGCGCGTACACACCCTTCATTACACATACATTTAAATGACACTTTGATTTTCTGAAAAGTTTAAGATTGAAAGACGTTTCAAAGCGTTGCAGCTGCATTTATTTCACGGTCAACGAAGGAGGAAAAGATTCTGACAATTATACAAGGAGAGCAGAGGGCGTGGCCACAAGTTCAGAACCAAAGAGTCACATATTTACATGAATAACGGATTTAGTTCTAGGCTCTTTGTCTTACACTGTTATAAAACCTGATGAAGAGCTTTGGAATAACTCACCATTCTGAAGATATTCGATGGGTTTTCAAAAGGTAGAAGAAAGTCTGTAAGAAAAAAAAAGTTTACACCAAACTTTTAGTTAAACATTGACTTTTTACAGTCATTTCATCTTTTTTTCTCATGCTTCCTGGTCTATCTGCTCTAAATTGTGGCAGCTGTCTCACTTTTAGATCTATGTTCCTCTAGTTTATCCAAACAGGCTGTTTTCTGGCTCCTCTCTGATGCGCATAAAATATTTTTTTAAGTGGACCGCCTTGATGGGATCGGCGTCTGCGGGAAACTTACCGCTGAGCTGGAGCTGCAGAGAGAGGAGCAAAGAGGAGAGAAGGAGAAGGAGAGGAAACCCACCAACATAAACTCTCTGTGACGTACGGACCACACCCCGGGGCGTCCCATGACGCCAGGCAGCTGCTCCTGAAGCATTATGGGAAATGTTGTTTGCATACAAGAGCTGCTTAAAACCTTTATTTCTTTATTTTTTACTTCTAGACATTATTTTTCAATTTTTACCTAAGGTACATCTTTCAAAGATTGTTTTATAAGTTCCAATAAGTTGCGTGGAAAAGGCAACTATATCACTTTCAAATAGCTACTTGATTTCTAGGTCTATATATATATATATATATATATTTGACTCCATTTAACAAATTAAAGTGTTTATGTTGTTATTTCATATGTTTAATTTAACATTAACTGGTATTTAATTGTAAAGCTGGAAGCAAATAGAGTCTGTTTTTGATTTCTTTGATGTGGCTAGTGGAAACATAATTTTGACCCTGAAAAGTAATTAATGTTGTTATGTCTAAAATACACCCAGACAGTGGCACATTAATCCAGCAGAGTGTTGGAGAAACATGAAGATTAATTTAGCTTGGAATATATTTTTCCTCACCACCTGATAAATGTTCATCCTAATATTTGTTGATTTCCTAAACAAATTCTTTTTTGTTTTAATGCAGCTATAATATATCCCTGTACTTCCCATGTCTCATGTAATGGATGAGGCACATTGTTGTGAGGGCAGAAGAAGAAAAAAGGTTTCATATTGCAAAACAACTTAGGTGCTGAAAAATTTATGAAATGGAAACAAGATATTTGCAGGTTATTATTTATTTATTTTATTGCAGTTTGTGTTTTGATGCCAAATATAAAACAAGACCCGAAAGAAAAATACTCCTAAAGCCGATGTATAGACACCTGATCCCTACTAAACCTTCAGATATTTATAATGTTTAAACATAATTAGATAAGAGGACACCCAGGAAACATTTAGAAGAATCACATTTAATGTTGCATTCAAAAGACGCAAATGTAGATCATATTTGTGAAATAAAAGTAATGCTAACTCATAGCTACAGGTTCGATTAAGGTAAAAAAAACGTAACCTTGTATAGGTGCTGTTATGTAGATCCTATCACCATGGAAACAGACTACATTGATTGGCTTTGTTAAAGGAACCACTATTCATTCTATTGCCTTCTTGACCAGGCATGCTAAAAATCCTCATGCTGATGATAGGTCACCATTTAAACAAAAAGCAACACTTATGAGTAAATACCTGGAGATCCAGTGTGACTTGTTGATTGTTTATACATTTTATTGGGATTTATTGTGACCGTCCAACTCAAGCTGTAAGAAGGGAAACCTACTTTTTCACTTTCCTTTGTTTTGTTATTTTGACAATACATTTTGTGAAAAGTCTGGAATGTCCTGTAATAGCACTGAGGATTTTTTTTATTCAGTTACTAACAGCTTTGCATTAATTGAACATCTAAAAGGTTTAAAGGAAAAGTCCAGTCAGTAAGGAGTGACAATGCATCATTATTTTTACCTTAAACTAATATGTTCGCAGTGATTTAATGAATTTAGCATTAATCAGTAAATAAATAAATGTAATAATTTTTGTAGCGATCACTGATCCGGGAGGGGCCCAAAATATAATAACACCTCACTCCTGAAATCTTCTGGCAGTGACGTCACGGTGCGGTATGCCTAGTGTCATTCTCCCGCATTACAAGCCAAATCATTGGGGAGCTACTAGAAACATCTGCAATCAACAACAATTACTTAAGATTTCCAGAGGAATTCACCACTGAAACTTGTGAGAGCTATAATTAACCTGACAATGCCCACGTGCATGGGAGTGGGATGTTGCAATAAATAGGTTTGTCGTCGGATTGCCAACTTGAAGAGGGAGGATTTGCCATTGAACTTCTGGCCAGAGAAAAAACGCGTAATATGTAGCTAACATTTCAAATAAGAATGTTTTCAAGATGACTTGGATAATAGCGTGTAGTGACAAACACCAGATACAGCACTGGGACTTGCTTAACAGCCGATACCGCACCGCACCGGTAGGTGGCAGTAGCGTTCTTTGACAAACATGGATGTCTCCAGTAAAGCACATTCAAATGAAATTTATTCTTAATTAAAAGCAATTATCATTTATTGAACAGTATGTAATCAATTTATATTTATAGTACTTTCAGAACTTTGAATTCTGAATATGGACAGACTATTCCTTTAAAATTTGATGAAGAGAAAACTTGAACACCAAATTTTAAGCTGTATCACAGATTCTAAAATGAATTAAAGTCTGGATTTGACTAGGACATTCAAAACCACAACTATATGCATTGATCTAAGTAGTGGGTCATTCGTAAAAGTAGCTACATTGAGGAAAATAAGTATCTGAACACCCTGCTTTTTTGCAAGTTCTCCCTCTTAGAAATGAAGGAGGGGTCTGAAATTGTCATCGTGATCCATGTCCACTGTAAGAGACATAATCTAAAACAAAAAATCCAGGAAAAACAATATATGATTTATTCATTTACTATCTATTTATATGATACAGCTGCAAATAAGTACCGTATTTTCACGACTATAAGGCGCACTTAAACGTCTTTTTTTCCCCTCAAAATGTGCAGTGCGCCCTATGGTGCGGTGCGCCCTATGTGTGTTGTAACTGCGACTTTTGAGACCACCTCATTGAGGAGATGATGAAAGAGTGGCTGAATGTAAGGAGACCAGGTGTTTTTTTTTCCACCCCTCACCATCGCTGTTAATATGTGACTCCATGCGTGCCCATCTCACAGCTGATGTGAAAAACATGGGGAAACAAATTAACGCTGTGCTCGCTGTTCAACCGCTCGACATCGGTGTGAACCGGACCCAGCAGGTGCAGCAGAAGCAGCGAGTTTACACGCAAAGTCAATGGTTGACGCGCGAATAGGTGCAGCAAAAGGTCCCGCAGCGCGTTTTGGTGCAGCACGTCGGGAGCGTTTAAGCATCTGAAGCGCCGCCAACGCGCTGCTGCTGCTCGAGATGGAAAAATTGAAGTTTTGCTGCTGGACGCGCCGCATCAACCAATCAGAGAAGCAGATCTGGGAGCTGACAGCGAGACAGACACAGCGCTCTGATGACATATGATATTAAATGAATATTATATTATATGAACGCTGTGCTCGCCGTTATCCCGGGGGTTCAAAGTAAGGCTGCGAGCGGCGTGGGAGCGATGGATGACAGACGGAGACCACAGTTTCAGGATAAGTGGAAGGCAGCGCCGGGCAAGTTACGCCACCGTTTGCGGATGGATTGTAGATGCTTGGACTAAAGTGTCTGCTGGCTCTGTTGTTCAAGCTTTTGCAAAAGCCGGCATTATTTCTCAGGAGCCTCGCTGCACGGAAAGTGACTGACAGCGAAGAAGGGGAAATTGGCATGTCTGATTTAGCGCAGCTGTTTAATTCAGAAACAGAGGATGATGACTTTGATGGGTTCGATTAATACTTTGTAATAAATACATGAATAAAGCACAAACATACTCAGTTTTGCTCCCGCTGTATTTTTCTCCCTGAAAACTTAATTCAACAGCAGCCTCTGGGCGGGTCTCCTCCTCTTCAGCGCGGTGGCTGGCAGGTGTTTTTTCATCTAAATAATCTAAATCTTGCAGCTATATTTGCTGTGATCAGTGGGAATAAAGTAGTTTTAATATGTTTTTAAGTGAGAAAGTCCACCTGAAAACTTAATAATTGCAGTCAGTTCATCCAGATTATCTATTTCTGTCGGAGCCGCTCAGACCCCCACATACCAGCGGTGCACCGACAGTAAATCCCTCCAACAGCAGCCTCACCGCGGCGGCTGGCAGGTGTTTTTCATCTAAATAATTTTAGCTGCAGGCACCAGGATACCGGTAATAAAAGCGAACATATTCCGTCGGCAGGTTTCAGGATTTTAAGTTAATTTAGGAGTGATCACAGCGCTGTGTCATCTGCGATGTGTCTGTCTCACGGCCAGCTGCCAGGTTTGATTAATACTTTGTAATAAATACATGAATAAAGCACAGTCATTCTCAGTTTTGCCCCCGCTGTATTTTTCTCCCTGAAAACTTAATTCAACAGCAGCCTCTGGGCGCGTCTCCTCCTCTTCAGCGCGGTGGCTGGCAGGTGTTTTTTCATCTAAATAATCTAAATCTTGCAGCTATATTTACTGTGATCAGTGGGAATAAAGTAGTTTTAATATGTTTTTAAGTGAGAAAGTCCACCTGAAAACTTAATAATTGCAGTCAGTTCATCCAGATTATCTATTTCTGTCGGAGCCGCTCAGACCCCCACATACCAGCGGTGCGCCGACAGTAAATCCCTTCAACAGCAGCCTCACCGTCTGTCTCACGGCCAGCTGCCAGGTTTGATTAATACTTTGTAATAAATACATGAATAAAGCACAATCATACTCAGTTTTGCCCCCGCTGTATTTTTAAATACGCAGTAGAGGTATTTAAAGGTAGTAGAGGACATGTACCTGTATATAAAAAACGCGCCCTATAGTCCGGTGCGCCTTATGTGTGTGTTAAATACAGAAATGGGACACATAACTGAGAGTGCGCCTTTTAGTCCGGTGCGCCTTATGGTCGTGAAAATACGATATTTGAATACCTGTCTAGCAATCATTAGAAAATGGAAGAAGCTAAACATGACTGTCAATCTCTCTTGGACTGGGGCTCCATGCAAGATCTCACCTCGTTGGGTCTCAATGATCCTGAGAAAGGTAATAAATCAGCACAAAACTTCACGGGAGGAGCTGGTCAATGACCTGAAAAGAGCTGGGACCAACATTTCCATGGTTACTGTTGGTAATACTAAGACGTCATGGTTTGAAATCATGCATGGCACGGAAGATTCCCCTGCTTAAACCAAGACATGTCAAGTTTGCCAGTGACCATTTGGATGATCCAGAGGAGTCATGGGAGATATTAATATAGTCAGATAAAACCAAAGTATAACTTTTAAGTCATAATTCCACTAACTGTGTTTGGAGGAAGAAGAATGATGAGTGCCATCCCAAGAACACCACCCCTATTGTAAAGCATGGGGTGGTAGCATCATGCTTTGGGGTGTTTTTCTGCACATGGCAGAGGACGACTGCACTGTGTTAAGAAAGGGGATGACCAGGCCCATGTAATGCCCTGGTTATCATGAATTTGGGGAACAACCTCCTTCCCTCTGTTGGAGCATTCAAGATGGGTTGAGGTTGGGTCTTCCAACAAGACAATGACCCGAAGCACTCAGCCAGGATAACCAAGGAGTTGCTCTCCTTGGTTAACATTGATTTTCTGAGGTGTTCAAATACTTATTTGCAGCTGCATCATACACATAAATAGTTTTAAAAAAATAGTTTAAATAGTTTTTAAAAAAATCATACATTGTAATTTCTGGACTGTATTTTTTTTTAGAGTATGTCTCTTACAGTGGAAATGCACTAACAATGATAATTTCTGACCCCTCCATGATTTAAGGGGATGTGACAGCCTAGTGGTTAGGGCATAGAGCTTGGAATCCTGAGGTTCTGAGTTTGAGCCCCACTCCAACAGACTGCCACTCTGGTTCCCTGAACAAAGACCTTTAACCCCACACTGCTCCCTGGGCACTGCACAATGGCAGCCCACCGTTCCCCAAGGGGATGGGTAAAATGCAGAGTTAATTTCGTTGCTCTATACTTGTGACAGTGTAATGACAATAAAATACTGGGGACAAAATTCTTAGTGGGAGAACTTGCAAAATAGCGGAGTGTTCAAAGTGGATTCTGAACTACCTCACTGGCCGCCCACAGTATCTGAGGGCAAAGGGCTAAACTCAGATAGGTTGGTCTGCAGTAATGGGGTCCCACAGGGAACAGTGCTGACACTCTTCCTGACAACCATTCCTGACAACTCCCCATGCTGCCATCCCCACAAGTTCTCCAACGATTTTCTCCATAGTTGGCCTTATCCCAGGTGGGAATGACTTGGAGTACAGACAGGGGACCCAGAACTCTGTGGCTTGGTGCCAGCAGAACTACTTCTTGATTAATGCCGGGAAAACCAAGGAGATCCACCTTCTGACACCGGTGAACATCCAGGGAATGGACATTGAGATAGTGGACTCTTATATGTACCTAGATGTTCATTTGAATAACAAACTTGACTGGACTCACAAGAAAGATCAGAGCAGACTCTTCCTGCTGAGGAGACTGAGGTCTTTTGGAGTGCAGGGGATGCTCCTAAAGACCTTCTCTGTTGTGACAGCAGCCATCTCCTATGGAGCCGTCTGTTGGAGCAGTGCTTTATCTGTTGCTGAGAGAAAGCAGCTGGATAAGCTGATCAGGAAGGCCAACTCTGTGATTGGAGACCCTCTGGAATCAGTGCAGGAGGTGGGAAACAAAAGGATCCTAACTAAATTAAAATCTCTGTTGGATAATGTCTCCCGCTCCATGCATGAAGCTGTTGCAGAACTGGAGAGCTCCTTCAGTGACAGACTGCTGAACCCTTAATGCAAAAGGGGGTGTTATTACAGATCCTTCCTCCCAGCAGCTGTAAGACTTTATAACCACTGTTCCCAACGACCTTCATAAGTTGTTACGTTCATGCAGATTTTGCACAGTTCCTACCTTAGTCAGCTAAATAACATGATGCTGTCATTTTTCACATCTCTGATGTTGCTGCTATTTCCAAATATCCATTACTGTAAAAATGTCCATAGCTGTATATTGGTTGTTTGTTCTCCAGGCGCACAGTTTTATATTGTTAAAACACTTTACAGTACAGTATTTGATTGTTTATCCTTTAACTCTTCACTATTATGTTATTCTTATACATTTTTAAGGTCAACATTTGTGTGAAATTTTTTTCTATAATCTTTCTGCTGCTGTAACACCAGAATTTCCTCATTTTGGGAAAGAAACTGTATCTAAGCATGAAATTGTGAATGACATCACTGTGTAAATATTAACCTATAGTCACAGAGCTAAAATGGGCCAATATAATGTCCCATTAACAACAGCTAGATTTAATTATAAGAAAAATAGGGGTTTAAGAAGAGTAAAAGGTTAAAAGTTATGCAAAGAGAGACATCGTTTTGTTTTTTGGTAAACATTCATTCAAAACATGCATTATTCTGAACTATTTTCAACTTTTGACCCTTTGTAAGATTCCTTCACTATTAAATTAATATGGTTTTAAAATAACGGATATGATCAAATAACATGTTTTTGATTATGTATTATTTACTTTGTTTGCTTTGTTAAAGAGTAAAAACTTGACCAGAAAAGCTATGAATAAATTGCCCAGCATAGGTGCTATCTAAAACGGAAATAGGTGTTAAAATAACCAGACATTATCGCTGCATATATATCAGATATAGATACAACTAAGAAAATAAGCATAATTTGAAAAAAGGGTAAATATTCTAATAACAGAAATATTGGGCAAGCACTTTGTGCTTAAAAGCTATATGTAAAAAAAAAGGATTGCAAATTCAGCGTGTAAGCAGCAATCTCTTTTATCTTTAGTTACAGCGCCATCTATAGGACAGGACATGAAGGTCTGAAAGGAGCTGAATCATTTGGATTAAAGCGTTGCATAAGCATTGCTGAACAAAAATTGTGCAGTAATAGATATTTCTTTCAGTCCGGTCGGGTCGTTTGGTCGAATCTGTATCATTCTTATTCTAAGAACATTTTATTTATTTTACAGGACAAATTAAAATTCGCATTAAAGAGATGGGCTAAACAAAACAGTTAAATAAAAGAGTAAAAAAATAAGTAAATAAATACTACAAACAAAAAACTGCATGGCATGACGGTTGCTTCATTTATTGGAAAAAGGAAATTACAACAGCTACCACATAAATGTATTGATTGGCCAATGCTTTAGTCCTATAAAAGGCCTACACCCTTACCTCTCCATCTAGCGTGTTTGGGTAATGAACCAATAGGCCTAGGCCTACTACACACAACAACAACAAATAATAATATCGCAAAAATGGTAGTTGTTTTTATTTTTTTATTTTCCTTTTGTTTCTTAAAAAAAAGAAAGAAAAAAAGGTTGAATTCGGTTTTATTTACTCTTCAAGATAAACAGCAACAATAAAAAAAACAACGGTTGAATTGATTGACTGATTGATTGATTCTTATGATTGATTGAAATGTATGATTCTATGTTGGATCTATTTAAATTCACCACTATTCTCTCCTTCTTACACTTTTTTTTTTTTTTTTTTTTTTTTTTTACATTTAACCATATACAGATGAGAGACTCTGAGGTAAAATGTGATCAATATCTCATATATTTGTTTGTTTCTGATTGTTTCTAGAAATTCCGAGATGCAGTTACTGTGATCTGGTGTCGAGCGGTGGGGTCTAATTTTAAAATAAGAATAAAATACAAAAAAAAAAAGCGCATTAATTTTTGATGCCAATGTTTTTAAAAGCATATCAAACAATCACTCGTTTCTTAACGGGACCCCTTTTTTTATTCAAATCTGCACACCAAGGGTTGTTATATTCCGAAACTCCCCCATGTCTGTTGTTAAATGGTATGATCCTTGGGCTATAAATTGATTGCGCCGTAGTCTTGAGCAGAACGGTTAAAAATCAGAGCAACTTCGCTGCGTTTAACGGTTTCTTTGCTGAGTCACTGCCAAACGTTTCTGAAAATGGAGTGGACTGCCATGGAAATTAACCCCGTGGTGCGAATTTGACTACTTTATAAATATTTGAATATTTTTTTCAGTAATGAAACTGAAATAATTCTGAATTCCATGTCTTGATTCCATTTCAGATACTGAACAAGGTGGGTATCAAACCATTAGAATCATTAATGGCGACAGTTGGTATCTGTTAAAACCCAAGTGTAAGGTAATCTTTTTGTTTTTTCTTTAACGCGGACTAATGAATTATGCATGTAGGCCTCCGGCAGAGGGGTATAGTATTGTCTACTTCATACTGTTATCTAATTATTAACTTAATATAAACAACAATGAGCAAAAGATGCGATTATTTCCTGTTTTTTTTTTTTTTTTTAAGGGTTTTAGCATCCTTCCTGTCTAGGCTGCAGGGTGTGGTCTGGACCACGACCTTGCATCTTTTAGTCGGCTCTGTCGGCATAACATCCAATTTACTTCCTGTTGGAAAAGTTGTTTGCTTCTTATTCTAAAGTTTTACCTGTTTCAGATTATGTGCAAGCTCGGTGTAAGAGGAGACTGGCGTTTCGTGGATATTTTAGATCTGGATGATGACAATCTTTCCAAAGTCCCGAAGCCATGCTGTGCCTTAATGCTACTCTTCCCCTTGACCCCAAAGGTAATTCATATCTTTTGGGGGATAGGTCTGTGGGATGAGTTGGTAGAGGGGTAAGAAAACGCAGTTTGATGTCCATGGAGCAGACTGCTAATCAGGAAATGAATCAGCAGATGTCTTCCTCTCTGTTCAGATTGATTTCTATGGCACTGAAGGAGCATCTTAATTTGGAGAATGATTAGATAACTTATTTTTCAAACTGACTGTCTGCAACAACTCCTTCTCTAATAGTTTTTTTTTCTGAGAATCATCATACTTTATCAGAATACTTGGATTCAGCACCTTGTAAAGCCAGCATCTATAGCAATCAACATTTTGTGGGTTTATCCTTGTGAAGTGAGCCAGGCTGTCAAGTTGGCAATCCTTAACCATGCTCTTAATTACTGTAAAACTTTGCATTTAATTTATCTACATGGATCAATGGATGCACAAGCAAAACTTGAATAATGCTACACATTCAAAAAGTTAATTGCACATTCTCAAAACAAACCTACATGGGATGAAATTACATTTCTGATTTTCAAAAGGGCCATAATTCCCTGCAGGCCAAAACGTAGCTGGGCTTGGCTGGTGCCTGGTGCAGAGGAGCAGCAGGCACCAACCAGCTCACAGTGCAGCTGCCATGTGTTTTGAGTCTCAGCCTGACTTTTGCCATCCTGAAACTCTAAATGCATGCACTCTTTTTGAGTGATCACTGATTACAACTGATGGTAAGGATGCAAAATTATCTTTACTGTAAAATTTGAGACTTAGAATTTTATGATTTAAAAACTGTAAGCTTGGGTTAAATGCACTAGACTATCATTTTGTTTCCTGGAATGCCAGTGGACAGACTTTAAGTATGTTCTCTAGATTAAAGCAGCACTAGTAAACTTGACCACAGCATTGCCTTAAAATGTACTGAATTTTTATTTTTGACAGATGGGTGTGCCTTGATGCTGTGTGGGCTGCTTTACAGCAGTTGGTGCTGCCTCCCCTTAAACATGAGAGCTATAACGAAGCTAAAAGTTGTGGGGGAAACTAAAATTCCACTTCCTTGATCAAACATATTTTCGGCATCTTTAGTAACTACATGACTTTAAGTCTTCTGGCCTGAGAATATCTGCCTTCCATCCATTTTCTTCAGTTTATTTACCTATTCCATATTATGTTTCATGTTGCATGATTGTACCATAAACAATTCCTAGTTTGTGAACTCCTTCACTAACGATGGCAATAAACCTGATTCTGATTTTATCTGGGGCTGGGTCGTGGAGGCATCGGACTAAGCAGAGATGACCAGACTTCCTGATCAACACACACCACCTCCAGCTATCTATCATATTCCAAAACTGAGGGAAATTCATTTTATTTTTGTATACATTTAGTTTTGGATCAGTGCTCTTACCAGCTGCTTTTAGGGGTACTACCCCTCAAAGTTGCAGGTCTAGCTCCCCTAGAGGCTAAAAGTTAGTCTTTAAAAACCATTGCTTAATTTGGAACCTTACTGTCCCAGAAATAGAGCTTAAAAATGTCCTTTAACAGAAGCTATGCAAGAGCAGTATAATGCTTCAAGTACATTATAGTTGGCTGCAGGTTGTTGAGTAGACAATACTAACACTCATTCTGTGTCTGTTCATGGCAGCATAAAACCTTCAGAGATGAGCAAGCAGACAGGGTTTCAGGAAACTCTCCTGTCTATTTCCTGAAACAGACGACCTCTAATTCTTGTGGCACAATTGCCCTCCTGCACGCCGTTGCCAACAACAAGGCCAAGATGTCTTTTGGTGAGTGCACCAATGCTGGCCTTTTTAACAGAAAATGTTGCTGCTTGTTTTTTATTGGAAGCAAACCTTTTTTAAATGGACAATTTGCATGAAAACCATGCAGCCTCAACAGTATGTTTGGATTTGGTAAAGAATTTTATTCTCATCGTTGGTTTAGTCTTGATCAACTCGGCATAAACTTGGTATTAAATCATTGGCTTATTAACACTTGGATGGATTTGATTACATTCTTAATGTTATGAATGCTTTAGCTGACACTTTTCATTGACAAACTTGTTTAGACAGCAGCTCTGTCCTGAAGACCTTTTTGGATGAGACGGCAAACATGTCTCCAGACGATCGTGCCAAACATCTGGAGGGGAACAAGGTGAGATTAAAGGTTAAAACTCGGATGTAAAATTGGTTTCGTTTCAGTGTCAACTTTCCTGAATGGACAGAACAAGCTGAGCATTTTGGATAAACTCCAAACTGGCCTGAAGCTAATCTTGGATTTGGCCAGTTTTAAGTTTTGTCACCACACGAGGGCGCTATAGGCTACAACTTGAATTGTTTTAATTTAGCTATACACAATATTTTGTCAAACTGCCAACTTTTTATTTCCTCTAGGAAATCAAAGAGGCTCACAATGAGGCTGCAAAGGAGGGACAATGTCGAGTAAGGCCTATATATGAACTCACCAGTTGTTGGCTCCATTAAGATTTGAATTCATTCTTCTTAAACTAGAAACAATTACTGTAATGTTTGGCACATACTCGACTTGAGTAGGAACTGGGGTATTGGATGTTAAACCAGAGTATCTGTTTTCATTTATACAGCCAGATGCCAGTGAAGTAAACTTCCACTTTATTGCCTTTGTGAATGTGGATGACCAACTATATGAATTTGGTAAGCATGTCACTTTTGACTTCAGTGTCCATGCTTTGAACATTGTTTCCTAATAGTGCTGCATTTGGATTATAGATGGGATGATGAATGGACCCATCAAACATGGGGAAACCAAGGATGAGTCCTTTGTTGCTGTAAGTGAAACTGTCACTCTATCTACGCACTTATGATCCGTACATGAAAAGCATTCACAAAGCCCTATTTTTTTTTTTTTTGTTTTTTTTCTACCACTAAAATATACAAGGCAGTCCTTTTTTTTTTTTTTTTTTTTTTTCCCCCCATAAGATTATTTAAGAAAATAGAGAATGAAAAAATTTGCACAATATACTATACAAGCTCATAGACCTCAAATGAGGTACTTAGTACCGTAGTTGCACACAATAAGCCAGATGCTGTCAGTATGCAGTTTAAGCCATAATTTAATACTCCATTACTGTAGTTTACCCAAACATATTTGCTAAAAAGAAATGAACAGATGGTATTAAACTATTCAAACTGTCTAAAGTTTCACTTGACGTCAAAATTAAAGATGTCTGTCTCTATCTTGTCGGCAGGATGCAGCCAAAGTGTGCCGTGAGTTCATGAAACGAGAGGAAGGTGAACTTCGTTTCTCTGCTGTGGGTCTTTGTAGTTCTTAGATTTTCATGTGACTGAATGGAGCAAATTGTAAGCCACATAGTTCAAGAGCATTTACATCAGTTAAGAAATGACCCTCTGTGCACCTACATCTGGAGGCAATATAATCCTCATCCCCTCAACCGCAATGGGTTGGCAATAGCTCAAACTGTTTTAGTTGATGATCCAAGCTTAATAGTGATTCATGAACACCACTTATCTGTAAAGGTTGTGAAATGTCACCTGTGCACGTGTCATTCTAATGTTTCCTTGTATTCATCTGTCAAAATTAATCAGCTTTAACACCTTTTGTGCCAACAAGAGCAAAATGCAGTGGAAACCTTAGGTTTGTTTTACTGCATGCCTTATTTGCCATGTGGTTTACAAAAATTTGTTATGTTCTGATGTTTGAGCACTTGTTTAGGGAAACACTACATTTAACAATCGCATTTCTTTAAAGGTCAAATATTCTAAGTTTCTAGTCTTTGAATGCACTTGTGAAAATGAGATCCAGTAAAGAATGACCAGTTCAAGTGCTCTTGCAAGTTGGGTTTGCTAGCTTATGGTAACTGCTTCAACTTTTCAGATTGTTTACCTTTATGCACTTTCCAAGCTGTTTGCTGGTGTTTAGCAATGCATATTTAATAAAACAAACTTGGTTACATGCCTCCATGTGTGCATCTGGTACAGATACAGCTGAAGTTCACAGCTTTCCCAACAAGACCTACAAGAACTTTTTTTTTTTCTCTCAAACCCATGAGCAGCATATTGCTTCTCTAGTAGTTGTTTTTTTTTTTTTTTTTTTTTTTTTTTTCTTCTGGCTCTATAAGGAATACAGAGTATTTAAATTATACCTTTCACAACTTTTTCTTGATTTGAATGTCTTGACTTTTCTGGCTTCAAATGACTCAAGAAGCTAGTTCTTTCAGTGGTTTACTTTGTATAAAATGGATTCAAAAGTTTCACTGTGCTCTACAGAAGCTCTGAAAGGCAAGCGAAAAAGAAAATCAAAAGCGAATTTGTCCTTGTAATTTATTTTGCCACTAGAGGCACTGACATAACAAACAGTCACTTTCAGCACTATAGTTGGAGAGGCCTGGTTTTCAAGAGTCTGAAATAAAATTGGATTATTGCAAAATAAAATGAGGTACAAAAGCTGTATTCATTGGCCATGACGTGTGGTTATATCAACCTTGTATTTTTGAGCAGAATTATTTGCAGAGGTGATTCAGCCTATTTGTAGGACAACATAACTGTTTCCTAGATAACCTCAGACTTGCTGTCCGTCAGTGCATATAAGTTAAGTTAGACATGGTTGTAAGAAATGTGGCAACAATTTAAATATGAATCATTCAATGATTTAGTTATAGCAGATTTTTTTTTATTTTCTCTTTCAGGGCTTCTATTTATTTTTGCTCATTCGTTAGATGGAAAGTGCATTTATATCTCTGGTACCTTTTACAAGGTTTGTCTAGGCAAAGGAATTCGCTCACATGCCAAGATATATGGTTCATTACTTGGGTTGGAGAACTGGATCAGTGCTTTTTTTTTTTAAGTCTGATTTTCATTGAATACTTGCACTGTGGCAACTGCAGTGGCTGAATTTAACGGTTATTGGGGAAGGTGATTATTTAAATTTGCAATTTTTCCACTGTCAGACTCAACACCGGTAAGTGAAAATGGGGACGAGCACGTTGGACGGCCTTGTGTAAGCATATCACCAGAATGATTGACAAGTAGGACGACCACATATTTTGATGATCCTCATGGAAAAACATTGTTCACTACACCTATAAAGGAGTTTATAAAAATCCTTGTGGTTTCTAAGTCCAGATACTTTGTGCAATCATGTCTTTACTGACTTCCATGGGTTTAGAATAACCTTTTATGCCCAAATATTTGCTCCTGTAAAGATTTCTAATTTCCCTGTTATTAGTCTGTTACTAAATAGTCTTTTTAAAACTTTATTTCTCCCCAAATTCAGACCCACCCCTTATCTGTGAGTTCTATAAGAGCTCACAGATGCCAAAAAGTTTGAAATTGACCATGAACATTTAGCAAAGTCTTGGGCTACAACATTTTACATGAACATTTTCAATTTGAAGATATTTAAATTGTTTCGTGCTCTGAGATTCTGTGAAAATGGTCTTGCACCCTCATTTCCAATTCAGATCAGGGGTTTTCTGCAGCTATGCCAGCCATAGCTCTGGCTGCAATAGTGGATGTCCTCACATTTAGCTCCACCAATCTTCCATTCATCCAAACCAACCTCCCCCACTACCCCCTTTACTCCCCCCCTAGCATAATGTTGCTTCACAATGTTTCACAAAGGAAACTGCTCATGGAGATGTGAAATGAATTCTACCAAACATCCAATAGCCTACGCACTGTAAAACATAATTCAGTTTAACCGTGAGTGAGCAGAACTTCTCAAACTGTTTCTCAAAAAGCTAAATAACTAAAATATTCAAGTATCTAAAAGAGGTGAGGACTGGTTCAGATCAGTTTAACCTTGTTGGCAATGGGTGTGGCCAGACACAATGAGCCAAGATGGTGTTATGACTGTTCAGCTTCTCAGTCATGCTTAGTCCAGGAGTTAATTGGAATCTGGACCCATGTATATGGCAAAGGTATGAGTCAATATATTCCATTTCAAATGTTTAATAATTTCACACAGAGAAGATGACAAATGTTTATCATATTGATGGGGTCAAAGACGATGCCCCAAACACTATCCCCTTGTTTTAAAGAGTTGTCCTTATTGACACGTCAACAACTGGAGCGACACATTTGTTATCCAGCTGTTCCGGCCTGCAGCAGGAGTGATGTGACACAAGTATCACAACAGACACAATTTTGGTAATTCCAGTGATGCCACACCTGCGATGAATGTAAAGTAGTGGTCACTGGAGTTTCAAAAAAATGACGTGTTGTATTTCGTAGTGACAACCAATCAGGGACAGGATGTGGCTGTGATGTATAAGGTGCAGTTGAAACCTTTTATCAAAATGGAAGATGTTAAAGAAATGTTGACATGAGATGAAGTAAGAAATGGCCTTAAGAGGTTTGTGGTTGCTTTTTAACTTAGGACTAAGGATAATTTATTCTCTCATAAAACGACTGATCCAGCGGCAGCTCGATTCTGGACTTCTCAAGGTGGGAACACCCATGGAGGATCTGGTGGACCCCGGGACGCCAGCGTCCCCATTTGGCTTTCCATAATAAATAAAGCGCCGTCACTCACTCAGTAAAGTCTGGTGCACCTTGCTGATCTAAAAGAAGCAAGCAGCAGAAAAATACTTCTAATTAATGATGTGGTGAAGCAGAAGGAGCGGAGCTCATCAACTGCAGGCAAGAAGGAAGCCTTTGTAGTGATCATAACCCTAACCATCTTAGGAGCTTTAGGAGACCTGGCATGTAGTCGGCGGGTCGTGCAGTCTTGCTGGTTGCAGACAGATACAGTTGCGTCAAGATGGCGCCTAATGCTGGAATCGCGATCGGTGTGAACATACCACTGAAACACTGTTATCTGCTAGTTGCTTGATGTACAAACAATAATTTACCCAGAAAAAGATTACCAGAGTCCTCAGTAACCAGTCTGGTCAAATTGTAAATAAAAAAATCATGACAAGCATGGAATTATTACATATAAAAGCTAGCTTGTGCTGCAAACTTAATAAGTTGCCCAAACTCAAAATACTGAGTGAATAAATTGCCTTGAAAGTTTTTTATTGATTTAATCTGAGGTTATCAGCTATTACGTTGAGTTCTACTTTTAGATTGCAGTTTAATACTGATTATTATGCAATCTACTAATGTGTTATTTTTCAAAGTGGTCAAAAGTAATTTCAATGTAATTTCAAAAGATAATATAACCTAATTATCTATTACCTATCATCAAGCTGCCATTTATGCAGTGTGCATTCTGTGAGGATAAGTAGCGATCATTATCTGTGGTAACAGAACAATTATTCAATTCAAACAGAACCAGTGAAATAAAAGAGCAAACTTTTGCATGGTGTTGCAGCTCTAGCCTCATCCACTACCAATTGGTCAGAAAATTATTGTCAAAATTAGTGCTTTCTTATTAAAGCTAAATTGTTCTTAGTGATGTCTTTTAATTTATGTTTGATAAATAAATCATTTAGATTAATCTAAAGCTAAATGTAACTAGGAATTAAAGCTGTCTTTGCCTGTCAGTTTAGGTGGACTGCCATTTGTAGGCACGTTTACAAGTTCAGATGGATTAACTGCTGCTGAGATCTGGTAACTGTTTAGCCCTGAGTAGAAGAGCTGTATTTATACTAAGCTTTGTTAAACACACGCATAAGAGCATATAGGACCCCTGTTTCATAATTTTGCTTCATTCTATCTCTATTTTTCCACTCTACAGAATTTGTTAATTCAATCTCTAATGTTATGCTCTCTCTGCCTTTTCTCATAGTACCTTCGCCTCATCTGTTCCTGTTTGGCTGTGACACCATCTGGTAGAGAAATATCAGCTGTGCAGCTGCCATCAACACCATTGTTTATAGATGTTGGAGATCAGCCTGTTTTTTAAGTGTAGTCCTGTTTCTCTGACTGTGACTGGCTGGATGTGCTCTCTTCATCCTCTGACATGGGAGCTTGCTTGGAACTCATCTGCCTGGCTCTGTGTTTCCTGGACAGGGCCGCCTTTTAAAGATGTTTTTTTATATCTCCGCTTCTGTCTCCTTGAACCCCAGTCGGCCTCGACAGATGGCCGCTCACACTGAGCCTGGTTCTGCTGGAGGTTTCTTCCTGTTAAAAGGGAGTTTTTCCTCTCCACTGCTACAAGCATGCTTGGTGTGAGGGATTGTTTTTTCTTAGATAGAAATCTTTGACTGTATGATCTGGTGAACTGTAAAGTGCCTTGAGATGACATGTGATGTGAATTGGCGCTATAGAAATAAACCGAATTGAAATTGAATTGACTGTTGACCAATCCGGTGTCTTATAAAGATAATTAGGTTATTGGCATAAAAGAGACTAAATGCAACGATATAACTTGATTATTTATTCGGAAAACAGAGATTTGAGCTTTTGTTATGAGAGAATAATGCATCCTCCAACAAGCAGCGGCCCATATAAACTATGATATAACTGGACATCTTCTGCAGCCCCTCCATCCCCCGCCTCTCTCTATCTCTCTCCAGTAGCTTTTCTTCCTCTCTCGACCCCCCCTACAGAGATTCCTGCCTGCGCGTTCACGCCTCCCCCTTGAAGCGCGCGGCAGCAGAGAGGAGCGTCACCCTCCTACGGGTCGGAATCGATATTTTTAGCGTCTGCTTCGTGTTGCAGCAGCGTCAGAAGCTGCTTCTCCTCTTCGGTCCTCAGTGCGACAGGAGGGCTACGTGACACCACTGCACCGACCGAGCGTGGACGATAGAGGGGAGAGAAAACAGAGCAGAGACTTCCCAACATCAGCTCAGTATCACCGTCCCCCTCTCACATGGCCAGTCCCGAGCAGAGCCACCCCGAGCCAGCCTGCCTGGAGGCGCAGAAATGGATAGAGGTGAGTAAAGAGGGAGCATTTAAACCCGGTAGAAACGGGCCACACGGAGATATAAATAAAGCCCCAACAGCCGCGTAGCGTCACCTGTTGGGGGGCGCTGCGCAGGCTACTGTTACCGTTTGGGATAGGAAAGTTTTAACCGCCGCTTTGCACCGAGTTTGACCTAGCAGCAAGGCTAGCACACATTATTTATCGGCTTTTATTCCTTCATTTTTCTTAACAACCAGAGGAACGCCCCTCTCCCAAGAAAGAGGGGATTCCGGTTGCCATGGTTATGAAACCGGGCTGCCTACCAGCATCGGATGAGATTATCATTTATGCTTTGCTGCATCCCATCATCATCTGCTTGGATACAAAAACCCGCCTCCCTCCATAAGCCTCAGGGGTGATTCATGGAGAAGAGTTCTGACCTATTTACTTTTTACTCTCATCACTGCTTTGTCCTTTAGGATCTAATGAATAAAAGCCCAGAGGGTTGAGATAAAATGAGTTTTATCAGGATGCTGTGATGCTCTGTCACCAACCAGAGGAGAACAGGCTCTGAGAAGATTGATACTTCAATAATATAAAGGATAGATCTTTTGATATACGCACACTGTAAGAGACAGGTGAATTTATTGGGACTCCTGCTGTGTTTATTTTTGGTAAATCCAGCATGTCATTTAATAACATTTTATCTATTGAAAGAAAACAACTAACTTGTGGGAAAAAAATCTTCACACTTTTTTGTGTACCATGGTACTGCAAATGGGCTGCACAGTGGGTAGCATTGCTGCCTTGCAGCAAGAAGGTTCCGGGTTTGATTCCCGGCCCGGGGTCTTTCTGCATGGAGTTTGCATGTTCTCCCCGAGCATGCATGTGTTCTCTCTGGGTACTCCCACAGTCCAAAACAAGGACTGTTAGATTGATTGGCTTCTCTAAATTCTTCTTAGGTGTGAGTGTTTGCGTGAATGGTTGTTTGTTCTGTTCGTCTCTGTGTTGATACATTGGTGAGATGTCCAGGGTGTGCCCCGCCTCTCGCCTGTAGACAACTAGAGATAGGCACCAGCATCCCGCTTGGGATAAGCATGATGGAAAATGGATGGATTGTACTGCCAATATATGGTATTTCCTGCTCTTCTCACGTAGTGTTTTAAAATTGTTCACTGACAATTCCTCAACAAACGTCTCTCCAAAGAAGGAGTCTTCTTGTCCAGCCCTCAAGGTGAGGTGTAATACACCTTTAAGATGTGTTTTCACACCCTGAAATCAAACTATGCAGTCAGATAACTGTACTATTTTAAACCTACTATTTCTTGATGTGCCTTTACTTTTCCAATTCAGATGTACCTTATTAAAATTTTCGATTTCGATTTTCATTCATAGATTTTGTCAGTCCAATAACAGAAAAATTATTTAAAGCTTTTAACACATTTTTAACAAGGATGGGGTAAAATATGTTCTTAATCTCGCATTTATGTAAATATAAAGAAATGCTTGATAATATAAAATCACTGTATCCAATCAGTTTAGTTCACACATAATTCTAAATTTTTTCTTTAAATAATTTTTTAAAACTTAAGTTGTAATTAAATTTTAAAAGCCAAACTATAACTTATATAAAGTGGGAGCCTCGCTTTTTTTGTCGTATTTTACATTTTGTACCCGCAGATGATCCAACAAGTCCCAGATTAGGTAAGGAAATGGGGCTGATGATCATGATAGGAAAAATATGAAGCTGTGATATAAAAGGAGTACTCTGTAACGTTTTCAGACCAGTTATTCAAATATAAGCACCTACATTCCTCGTGGAAAGCTGCTATGGTTGAAATTTTTCTCTAATAAATCAAAATGGTGAGTTTTCATTAACGCTCGAGGGGAAGAGCCAAGCCTCAAAGTTTGACTTCTCAGTGAAAACATTTAAATCCATGTACCTTCAGGGGACAACATCGCTTAGATGGAAAATCTTCTGTGATTGATCTACATCTAGCCCCAAACAAATATCAATGGTCACTTGCTGACCTTCCATAAGCCCTGCCCCCTAAGAAGAGGAAGTGTAATTCTTTGGGTTGGAAGGTCCCAATTAGACCAAATTTATTGAAACAAGAAAAAACTGTGTACTCTGACGGAAAAATAGTTGGTGTAAGATTTGGTCGAGAGAGAAAGCTCTAGGGCAAAGGAGGTGGTTGTGGTGGCAGATTCAAAAAAATTAAAATATATTTGGCACTGTTTTCCTAATTTCTCATGCAATCTGTACCAAAGTCAACATGATTTATGTAAGTCTTAGTTCCAAAGTACACAGGAATCCGGTCCAATATTTAGTTGGTGTGGCTTGAAGGTATAATGGAGGATGTTCAGGGCTTGATGTTAACCATTGCCCGATCCCCCGGGCAAGCTCTTTTTATTGTCGGGAGAGTACAAATTTCATTGCATTTGCCCGCCGGGCAAGTGCAGTGGCCGCAAAAAAAATATTTATCACTCAAAATTACTTTAAAATCTTCGACATAGCTGAAAACGACCCAGCCGGCGCCATTTTTGTTGTTTTGTACACATTCTCGCGTGATTTGAAAAAGACGCGTGATTTGAAAAAGCCGCGAGATTTTCCACCAGATGGGTGATTTTTGTCAACCTAGCGGTAATTGTGATGTAGTTACCAAAACGACAAACAAGCTAGAAAGCGCTATCATATGGCAGTCTTCTGTACAGCGGTCATACATTAAAAGATTTTCATTTTTTTTCTCTCTCAGACATTGGAGAGGGGCATTTAAATGTTATAGAGCTAAACATGTTAAATTGGTGACCTGTTTTGTTATTATTATTGTCTTGTTGCTGCATTTATTTTGTCAGGGAAAACTAATCCTGAGTCAGATAAAAGTCAGGGAATTCTGAAATTATGTAAGACTGTGGAAACCCTGTATAAAAAAACTGTATAATGATTCTCTAGAAAAGTCACATTATATTAATAGTATTATCTTGTATAAACATACTGGGACTCTTAAATAAGTTATTCATTTGTGACATTGACTTCTATCTTGTGATTTATCTTAAGTTTTTAACCTGTCAGGTTTTTTTTTTTTTTTAGATTTTTAACATTACAATTTGTATTTTTCCCAAGCACACAACAGTTTAAAGCAAAGTTTAGTTTGAAAATAATGTGCAGGAAAGATTGAAAAGCATGTTAACACGGTAATGTAGGCTTGAGTTCATTATCTGACGCATGCATATACACACCAGGAACCGGTAAAATAAACAAAATACTGAATTACAAAAAACATTTAAAAAACAAACATGTTTCATTGATATATATACAAAAATGAATATTAGGAACTATATTTATCAAACATTATACTGGGCAGGTAAAAATTGTTTCTGGGCAAATGAAATGTGAAAGTCACTTGCCAAAATCCTTAACGTCAACCCCTGATGTTCTTTTTCGGGTTGGATCATCAAAATAAGTGGCCCTCCTAATTCTCAGTCATTCTGGTGATATGTTTATGCTAGGCCGTCCTACATGCTCGTCCCCATTTTCACTTACCGGTGGTGAGTCTGACATAGTGGAAAAATTGCAAATCTTCTTTTGGAAAGTAAGCTTGTATGAGTGATGCAAACAGCAACTTTTAACAAAGCGTGCACGAGGAGAAATGGGCTTGTGCATGCTCTTGCATGTGTTTAATAGGCTTACCCTCTCGTGAACAGGTACAGGGTTGTGCATGTGTAATTTTCTTTTTAAAGTGGAGAAGGTGGGTCTGAGCTCCAATTCAGTAACCTAAGTTTCTGTTGTTCTTTCCGAGAATGCTATGTTGCATGTTGTTCAGTTGCGAGTTGCCAATCGTTTGTATATATTTAAAAGAGTGGGCGGTTCTTTCTCTTTGTGGAAAGATAATGGAATATTATTTTTAATTTTACAAACACAGCAAACTTTTCGTCATAGAAAATAGTGAATTTCGATGCAGCCTCTTAAGAAATTTCAATATGCTTTAACTTTTAAGCAGCTAAATCTCTTTGAGCATGAACCTAGTTTAGTTCTCAGATCATAGTTGTAACCTACTCAAGGAACAACAAAGCCAATAGTTTGTAACTTGCTCATTAACAGATTTCCGTCTACGCTAAATAAAGTGTACTATTGGTGGTGAGAACTGTCTGCTCTGGGTTAATTCCAGTCTCCTAAGTATTAATCCTCCATACAGTGTCTTTGCTTTGTCTCTTTCTGCCCCCTAATTCCCCTGTTATTTCCAGTCCAGCTCTATTTTCAGGGCTGTATTTATACTCCTGCACAGGTGGGGATAATTCAGGGTTAACCACGCTGCCCTGCAAAGATCCCATGTGCCATTTCAGCGAACTATGCAAAGTGTGTGCACACACACATACCAGTCAGCATTTCAGCCACGGACACACCACGGTTGGATGACAGTGGTCACTATGGGAACAAAACAGCGACAGGTTCTCAGGTGTTTTCCGGAGCAAGTAAAGCAGACGAGTGATGTATTATCTGACCAGATAATAACCAGAGGACTGCAGATCTAACTGTTTGCAGACCCATTGTTTTAAAATGGGTTCATTCTATTCAGTTTTAGCATTTAACCCCAGCTTAAACTTGACATGCAGCACATTACTTTTGTTTTGGCAAAACCAATGGAATAAAGACAAGAATGTGTGTGTTGACTTAGCGTGTGTGCCAGATGTCACAGCTGTCCTGGAAGGATTAACTCCAGTAGTCCCAGACAGCCAGCTGTTTGTGCATGGGAGAGGAGAAGTGTGAGAGCTGGGAATCAGTGAGTTTACACGGATCAGGAGCTGAGTGACGGAATGTAAAACAATGGTGGTGCTGACTTGGTAAAAATATATGCTCTGCTCATAGTCAAACTCAAGTGTAAGAAAGTTACAGGCAACATGCAAAATCAACTCTGTCCTTGCAGAAGACAATGGGGAGACGTTAAAGAAATGAGCTCATTTGGTTTTGTAGGCTAAATATAATAAGCTGAGGCTTTGGTCTTAAAAACATCAGGTATCACATTTTGTAT